GGGAAGTTTCATCAATGGAAGACGATTTGTCATTTAATTAATAGTTACTGAAAAAATTCCGGCACCATCCAGAATCATCCAGTCTGTGCTTCACTTCGTTGTGGCACTAACTAAATAATGTAAGAAGATTTTTAATTTTTTGCTTAAATTAACTAACGTGTAATTAATTAATTATAGTCTTGTTTACTGGAGTGGAATATTAGTCCACAAACGCTGCAACTATAAATGAATGTAATATAAATTTAGCTTGCTTCTAAATATGTATTCCCTAACAGCAATGGCACAGTGTCATCAACAGCGCAGAATTTTCTGTTTTTTTGTGTAATTTTACTCAGTTCTCGTTGCAACACATCACCTCGTCAAATTTTAACCGAATTTATTACTTTTCGGGTTACTACATTTTTTATCCAAACAGGCGAGTAAATTACAAAAGTGTGCCTCGTGGCGCAAAAAGCATCTTAAATAACAGTCGTAAAAGGCTGATGCACGTTCACTGTTAGTCAATATTCAGAATCCCAGAAATATGATAATAGTAATGTATGATATCGTAAAAACGTCACCGGGAGGTATTATTAAGGACTGAAAAAGTAGCTTCGACTTCCAGGCCGCATTAAACACGCTCCGTTTGTTTAATTTTTTTTTCCTGCGCAAAGAATGTGCGACATAAATCCGAACCTGAAGATTCTTTTGCTGGAAATATTTATAAACTGTTGCAATAAATTATCTTTTACGTTACACTGACCCGAATGGGGAGGTTTTGAAAGATAAATGATCGTAGGAGTCGGACGTGGACCTCGGACATCACTTCGGTTCTTATTTGGATGGGTTTTGCGAATACGTATTCGGTTGGAGGAAATAAAACCAGAGATCAAAACAAATTATAGTCCGTGGGTAGGTAAAAAACACGTTTCGAATTTATTATTACGCTACGATTTAACAAATGTACAGTCGGACCTCAATAAGTCGAACCTTGATACGATAAAATAAGGAAATTGTTTACAACATACTCGCACGTTCTTTCATATTTTCCTGAAATAGCATGCAAAAAATGAGAACCTGTGGACACTTACTTTTGTATAAAGTTTCCTTTACTTTCTTCAGATTGACAAATTGAAATATTTTGATATTTGATTGAAAAATATATACAAACAAAAAATGATAATAATTGTTTCTAACAAAAATGGCGAATCAAATAATTTTGAATATCACAGTGTAGCTGAAGAGTTAAGTGTACAATAACGTACACTAAGGCCTCTTTAATCAAGTGGTTACACAGATATATAGTCAACAATGAAATCTATGTACATAAATAAGTAACATTACTCATGGAAAATAATCCTTTAAGAAGTTCGACTTAGCGAAGTTTTGCTGAAATAAGTTATGGCATTAGTTAAAATAAATCACTGGTTATGTTTTATTATCCTTTTCAAGACTTGCATTTAATTTTTTTAACGTCGAAATAGACAGAAAGCAAAAATACTTTTTGTGTTCTACAAAATACTAAACGGTAAGAAAATGTGAAACTAGGTGTTATAGTGATATGGAGCAATTCTTCAGTATTGTTTATACTGAGGTAAATATAATATGAAAAAAGAAATTTTTACTGATATAATAATTTTCAGAGTCTCTCTCAAGGAACTCGAGAAAGAAATTTTGAAATGGGATTTATGGTAATTCGAAAGCTAAAAGAAAAAGTAATAGATTGCATACACATATGAGACGGATTATTTGGAAAAATTAACACGAAAAAATGGGTTCATTTTGGATATATGTACTTGCGTCGATAGAGGATAAAGAAGATGATACAAACATATATACTAAGAAGCAACAGAAAACGTAAATAAACCAAACAAACATATTATACTTAATAACAACAATAGGATACGCAAAGGCGAAAATAGGGAGAAAAGATATATCCAGGGTCATCATAAAATATTGTAGTCAAGGAAGACCATGACTTTGTTGACATTGTGTGCCGCCTTTCACAGTTTTGTGGAAACGGTTACACTAATATTGGAATTTTTAAGTGTTTCAAAAAACAGTTTTTATCAAAATTTCGGATCATTGTCTATTACTATCTAATAATTTGCAATTTTTCAAGGTCAAATGTATTGCAGTAGTGTTCGATAACACTGTAACCCCTAATGCTCTGGCGTATTTTCGTGTCTATTTAAAATGAAATTAAACCGCAAACCTGGCATTTCAAGTTTTCACACATTTGACAGATTTGTTTTGACGTTCGTGACATTTTAAAGAGTTCAAATCATTTTGGTGATTAGCGGCACGAGGAAAATTTCAGTTGTTTTTCATAGGTGACTTGAAATTGATCATGTGCAAGAAAGACATTGTATAGTAGTAATCAGTGTTGGGCAGTATCTAGATACCTGTATCTAAATAAATTATCTAGATACATTTTTGGGTATCTAGTATCTGTATCTAGATAAAATCGAATTTAAGCACAAAATATCTGTATCTAGATACAAAATTAATGGCGCAGAAACAGATACATTCTTTTATTTCACTTTTTTTTCAGTAGTTATTAGTTGAATTATACTAGTAGTTATTTTTGATACTTCGTGTTGGTGATTTTGGTCAAATAAACAAAAATAGAGGTAAGAGGTCCACTAATAGTGTTCTGTCACGGAAATTTTCATATTTTAAATACCATCATTTCCTACATTGTAGCCTCCAGTACTTATACATCTTTAAATATAATCCTGAGGGGTAATAAATCTAAGTCATGGTAAGATGGTATTTTAAAAACCATAAACAACAATTCACTATTCACTGCGTTTTACCTTGTCGGGGCAATGCATTTTATCTGTGTACCTGAACAACCCCCGTCCGGTAGGCCCGCTGGTTGTATTTGTTTTATTAAATAAGAGTAACTTTAATAGTAAAAATATTTGTTTAAGGTATGTTATTATTTTTTGTTATTATTTTTAGAAAATAATAATTGCGTGTTACATAATGATTAATTTTTTCAATTAGCACAAATTAGTTTCGTAATCGACTAATCGAATGTTCAATACATACATTTCTCTCGCATCAATCGCATATTTGTTACTGTTTTATATCTTTATTTTTCAGACAAATGTAGCATCTTTTACTGTTGCCACTTGTGTCATTTCTTCATTTTTTCTTTGTTGGATCTAACGCGAGGCGGGCTTGGCAGGTCCGTTTTGCCCTAGAACGTGCCGATTATGTTTAAGTTTAATCTTGGGCAATAAAATTAATATTTTTACAACCCTCGGTAGAAAAATTTATCGTGATATATCCTCAGAAATCGTGAAACCAGATTAAAATAAAATGAGTTTCAACAAAAATCTGAAAATTTAAAGTTGCACTCTGATGATTCCAGCCTGCCAGGCAGCCTTTAATCCTATAAGGTGTTTAAATACCTTTCTAAGAAATTGTACTTATTTTGCCTTAAACGGAACCAGCAATTCTTCCTAAAATGTATATACCTGCCGCACCGGGATAGACGATTACCGGAGATGGTCATAAAAACATCCAAAGCCGATATTGAAGAATAATAATTTATGACAGGTTGCCGACAACAGACCTTCAGCACAGAATAATCATTTTCCGTATTCTTTTGAAATATTAATTTTAATGCTGGAGATAATTATTAGATATACTCAAACACAATTTCGACACTGTAGTATATGAATAAAAACAAAAAAATATTCTTTTTAAGCGTAGGTACGTAATAAATATTGCACAATTTGCGACACATCAAACAGCGAAGCGATGGCTTATTTGCAGGAGAAAAGAAAAGATTTTTCAGTCTTGAATAACTATGCTAGAGTAAAATGTTTATTTTTTAAATTCAATACCACAATCCCTTCTTCTGCATCTGTGGAACGGGTGTTTAGTAGCGGAAACCAAATTCTGACACCAAGAAGATAATTTAGGTGACAATACGTTCGAAATGTTGTTAATTTAAAAAAAATCATTAAACAATACATAAACATGTTTTCAGTTATTTTATTCGCCAAAGCTTCAAAAAGTATCTGTTTTCTTGTATCTGTTATCTAGATACATTTCGAAAAAATCGAGAACAATTTGTATCTAGATACTTATATCTTCCATATATCTATATCTCTATATCTGTACCTAGATATTTTTAAAAGTATCTGTCCCCAACACTGGTAGTAATAAATAATTGTAAGGACCTATCATCAGGTCAGACATCGGATTAAGATCATATTTTGGTAGAAGTAAAAGTAAAATATATGTATAGTCAACAACTTCTTTTGCCTCTTGGTCTCGAGGTATAATACAATTTATTATTTTTAACTATATTGGGCCACGTTGTTCTTTCTATGCAGTGTTATAGCTTGGTTCCATGTCATACCATTACTCTTTACAATGTCGGTGATTACGTTATTCCATTATCTACTCGGTCTACCTTGTCTTCGTTTCTCGATTCCTCTTCATTCCCAAATTTTCTTCTCTTGTCTGCCTGCGTGTAGCCTATTTAGATGTCCAAACCACCGTAGTTGAGATTGTTCAACTCTCTTAAGTATGTTTTTCACGTGTAGTTCTTCCCTTATGTTTTCACTTCTGATCTTATTAAATCTAGCAAGCCTTTACCTTGTTGGTACAAATATTGCTTTGGGGCCAATTCCAAGTTGGTGGCGCAAGTCACTGGTGCAGCGCAACTTTATAATGCTAATTTGGGTATCAAATGCTGGTTGCTAGGGGTGACGGAATAAACAAACGCAATTTTTCGAGATAAATTGCGCCAACTTGCACTGCCTACTAGAGGTGCCGCAACTCCATGGTGCAAATTTCAATAGAAAATTCGACATAACTGCGTTTGTTGATTCCGTCACCCCTAGCAACCAGCATTTGATACCCAAATTAGCATTATAAAGTTGCGCTGCACCTGTGAATTGCGCTGCCAACTTGGAATTGGCCCCTTTGAATACATCTCTTTTTGTTTTCTTGCTTACTTACTTTGCTGTCTTTGCTATTCGTGCGTTTATCTCTGCTTAATATCCTCCCAACACTTGTTCGATTTCTGTGTTTTCCACTCTGATATTTATCTTTTTCTTTTCTTTTTCCACTACCATAACATTGCTTTTGGTTGCGTCTAGTTTCATTCCGTCTTCTTCCAGTATTTCGTACCAATTATTTAACTCCTGTTGAAGAGTTTTTTCAATTCCCCCATCAGTGTAATGTCGTTGGCAAAAATACAGTTGCTAATTATTTGTGGTTCCATGTTCCTGCACCCAATGGTGATCTATTTACTGATGGCTTCGCACTTCTGTATTACCTCGTTCATGAGTATGATGAAGAGCAAAGGACTCAATATTCCACCTGGTCTTACTCCCATTGGGGTTATGAATCTTTCCGATTCCTGGTTCTATGTTTTCACCACATGCCAAATATGTGTTTCTATATAGGGATTTCATGGCTTGTACCTACTAACTTATCTAGAATGTCGCGTTTCCTTAGTACTGCCCAATTTAATTTTCTCAGCACCTTGTCAAAAGCTTTCTGGAGGTCCATGAAACATAAGTACAGTTCTTTATTGCTTCTGTTTTATTTTTTCATGCATTGTCTTAACGGAAAGATGTGATCTTGCACACTATGATCCGGTCTGAAGTCACTCTATACGTCATTTAACCTATCTTTGCTTCTTATTCTTTTTTCCGCGAACCTTTCGTACACTTTTACTGCTACGCTTTAGTAGTCCCCACTCCCTTTTACGCTATAAACGCTGTGTTTGCCTTTTTGAATTGTTCTACCAGTTTTAGTTCTTCTATTTCATTTAGATTTTTTCGTTTATTGTGAACTTCTGATATCTTACTTTTACCACTCTTCTTAGTTCTTTTTCATTTCTCTGAGTTTTGCTTGTGTTTTTTTCTCTTCTTTCTTTAGTCATATCGTCTTCGACGTATTTGTTGGTGTCGTCCAGTTAGGATTTTGCTTTCATGACCTCATTTTCCAACTTTACCAATATCATTTTTTGCTCTCCTTTCGTTTTGATGTCAGCAGCTTCTATTATGTTCGCCTTGACTTTTATCTAGTTATACAGAAGCGCTGCTACGCCTTCCTTGAGGTTTTGCTCTCCGAAAATTACTTCTTTTATTACAATGTTATTTCTTCTATCCGTCCTTCCCATTCTCATTCTTTCGGACATTCTTTCATTTTCTCTTTTGAAATGTTCTATTTCTTCCTTATATTCTTCTTGGTCTTTACTTACGGGTTTAACTTCTTTTAGAAGTTCATTTAATATCTCATTTATCACTTATTTGGTTTATCTTCTTAGTATCTGCCATTGTCGTGTCTTCTTTCTTCTTTAGTGCTTTCAAGGTCCCCTTTGGTGGCGTTCTTGTTGCTTGCTTGCTGTTTTTGTAGTTTCTGGTTTTGCCGGCGTTCCCCCTCTACCTCAAAAAATTTGACAATTTAAACTTGGGCCGAACTCGGCAATCGAATTCAATAAATCTAAATTAATGAAACAAGACAAAATACATACATAAAACACATGTTAAGTATGATCAAAAACACAAAATAATCGTTCGGTAGGTACGTCGTTCTGAGAGCTGCGTCCGAGAAAAAATGTTCTAAAATTGGAATCATAGACCCATAAAACATAACACAAAATCAGTATAAAATCCCATTTGCTCTTTTGAATCCACGATGACATTTATTTCGCTGGTTATTTCCAAAGCGACTCAATATTTAAAATTTAACGAAAAACATTTGCAAGTTTGCATTTAGCCCCCGTATTTTGGAATCCAGAACCAAGGGTCGTGTCGACCAAGGGTGATCGGAACAGGACGAAGAGGTCGGTCAAAGAAACGAGTTGGAACGAAACCCAATGCCAACGACTTCATTGGTTAATTACAGTCGCGTAACTTTCGACCCGAGGGGAAGTGTTGGAACGCATCTACAGTTAAGGTCGGCAGAACTGTAAACCAAGTTCCTGGAATATTGCGGGATGAGTCATTGGGCACCTAAGAGATGTAATATTTGTCAATGGTACTGACGTCAGCGCTAGTACTATGCTGTCATGATGCTTTGTCGGTCGGTTACTGTGTTTCCCTTGATTGGATCAACAATTTTTACAGTAAAATAAAGTACGATGGAATGAAATGTAAATGAAATATCAACCCATGGGTTTTAAAAGAGGTTAGAACTCAATAAATAAACATATTTGTGTATTGGAGGGCTGGAAATTTCCTAAAAGCTCATAAGATTAACAAAAAATTTAAAGGTAAAATCCACGACAGTTTCAACGTCCATCGCAGGCTAAGACAAAGAAATCCTTTATTAACAAAACTATTTAATTTAGCATTAGAAGAAGATAATTCTAAAAAATAACATAGCTACTGAAAACAGCTGAGAAAATGGGTTTAAGAATTATCGTCAGCAAGACCAAGTAAGTATATCCAAATAAAGAACAATAAAAACAATTTTGTTAGTGCAAACAAAATAGATCAACAGTAGAATTTGAGAAAAGTCAGTATTTTATGTATCTGGGAGTACTGATGGATAACAAATATCAAAAAAAAGGAAATTGCTGTAAGAACCACTAAAGGGAACTCTGAGGGATAACTACATAGATTAAAAAAAAAATAATAATGGAACAAAGATTTTGGTGAACTAGTAACAATTTTCGGACAGAAACAAACAGAATTAGAATGGTAAGAAAATAGCTAAATATAAGAAGAATCCAATTAGAAAAGATGAACCAAGAAAAGATGTAAAAATAATATGATGGAACGCCCAAACCAGAAAAAAAGATAAGCCAATAAAAGTGGTGGAGAAAACCAAAGAAAAAATTCAGGATTGGAAGAAAAAAGCAAAAAATCAGGAAAGGAAATCACTAAACTATGGACCTGAATGATTTGCAATGAGTTAAAACTTTAAATGAAATTTCTTCGTTAGCAAACGCAGCACGAACTAATAAAAAATAATAAATTATGTCACAACTGTGCAAATTTTGAATTCATCAATTGTTCTTTATTATAAAGTATTTTTAAATACATATGTTGAATTTTATAAATCTTTAAATTTTGTTATTTGCTTGATCTATTAATTGTCTTGAAGGGCGTTGTATTTCGTTCTAATAGGTTTAAATAGAGCTGTTTTTGTAAAGAGAATTTCAGGATGCCTAGGTTAAAAAATCAAGGCGAGTTAATAAACTCCAAGTATAGGAGTATGTTATTTTATAAAATGAAAAAAATGAGGAGACGTTATCAAGTTGGTAATGAGGACCTTATTGCAATTTCGAATAGCGTTTTACCATCTACACGATATTCATATAGTTTCGGAAATTATTTCTCTAATAAAAATCGACAGATGATAAACGACAGATAAACGGAAACGCGACACCTATTTTAAAACTAAAAGTCGAAAAAATATGACAGTAACAACCTTACATACCAGAGTTTTTTCTACTTCTATGCCCCAAAACAGGCTTCAAACTTGTTGCAACAAAATTATTTCAGTGCCAGAATGTCTGCATACTTGAACAAAATTTACAAAAATGTAGGATTTAGCACACATCTTGCCATTAGTATAAACAATAAAGTAACCCCACTGCCACAAACATTAATTTTAATTACTGCTTTCTTTGATTTAAAATACTAACTTAAGTAGTTATATTTTGCTGCCTGGTTTTGTATTAAGAAGTTCAGACTTATTGACATATCGTCGGAGTAGTCTCTCGTGTGGGAACCTAATTTACTCAACCGTATCGTTTTGTTTGAGGGTTAACGTTTATCATCTGTTGCATTTTGTCACTGCACGCAAAATTCGAATGACACCGTTATATTTTTTCTCTCCAGCAGAGAAAAGGTTATTGTTGTAAAGCATTCCATGAAAGAATATCGAACGTTGAGAAAGAATCTCGAGAATTACAGTCGCTAAGGATACGCACTTGTTGCCAAAGAAGCATACCAAAGATCAGCAACAGTTAGTCAGGCTTGTATTATTACAGCTAATTACTACTTGCTGTAGCTCTTTAATATTTTAAAAAAATTGTTTCAATTTTCCTATTGCTCGTTTAAGAAAAAATAAATTTATTTTGTGTTTGTTAGGGAATATTCTTGGTGGAGGTCTATATATGTCATTAAACCTATGACTACTTTCAGAACGCATTTTTTGATTTGGTCTTTTTATGAACAATAAAGCGGTGTGTTACGATTTCTAGGCAAAATAAGGAAAATAAAAAAGAGTGGAAATAAAATCGAGCACCCCTTAGTTATATTATGTAGGATAAACATAAAGTAAAAACATTCTAGGTATCTACACAGTGTGTTTTACATTTCTATTTCTGTTACAAGTTACAAACGTCCGTAGTAAAAAAAATGTAAGAACGTGGAATATTTGGAGAACCGGTTTTGGAAAATATATAGCAATCTAACTTTTCTTTGTGGAGTTAACGAAAGCGAAATAGAAAAACCGTGGTCGTTTTCTCCACATCGTTATCCGTTTCGCTTCCACCATTCACCGCTTCCAATTTTGAATCCTACCAGCAAAGAAATTGATGAGTGTTCGATGCCGGCTTTAATTCCCTCCTGCCGTTGCCTCATGCCTCCGTGCATTAATCAAGCAATCGTGATAAATGACGTATTAAATGCCTCGGTGAGACGGAACTCACCTTCATCGGGGATATCGAGGAAGTGGTGACAGTCCCTTTTAATCAAGTAACCACCGATGATCGCATCAGTCACTGTCGCGTGTCCGATTGGTTCAGGATCTAATCCTTATCAGTCGTCCGCTTCATTGGACAGGTCAGCGAGGTCTCAGAGCACTAGATTAAGGCCTGTCCATAAATCAGGACCGAGAAAGTAATGCATCCGGACTGTCATCGATACGGTCTGCCATTTTCATACGTGGGTGATTGACAGCCACTTAACTGGTGCGAAAAATACCACACACACACGTGAGCAATTCTCGACGGGTTTGCACAACCATTACCGGCCATGAATATTTGCTGACCCTTCGTCTAAAGGGATTTCGGCGATGATGTGCAGAATGTACGCGATTTAGGTAGACAGAAGTGGTAATGGCACTACTGATTGATGGCGATGGACTCTTTTCTAAAATATGTCTATTCAGGAAGTGAAAACTGGGCGGGTGCGGGAAGGAGCAATGGAAACATATCTTATTCGTAAGACGAGGATTGCATGCTGGCATTACTTGCGGAAGTTGAAGTTGCAGGTGATTTAGTCCTCTAGCCTCGATCCTATTGTACTTTCAGTATAAATGACCTTAGCTTGAAGGAATTTTGGCCAATCTTAGGAAACGTTATTGAGGTCTAATTTCCAATCTGTGACCTATAAAAATAGTTATTTTTAACCAACTAGGTCAGCGGACTTTCAGTTTTCCGATGTCAGTAGTTCGAAGTCAAAAACATAGATCACTGTCAGTAGCAGAGAGAACACGTACCAGTTATGACATATACAGAGTGATTTCAAAATATATGCAATAATTGTAACCACGGCATCCCGTACCGTAGTAATGTGCAAAAAAAGTCGAATGGGGCAAAACCCCCATGCATCACCCTCGATGCGATGCCGCTGATCCATCTTTTAAACAGTAAGTGGAAAAACCTTCAAATAAAAACGATGTAAACAATTTCAGTTTCAATAAAAAATAAAACCGACGTTTTGCTGGTTAACATTCGTTCATTCATGTATTCATTCATGGTAAAAAAAAAGTGCGAAAGATTATTAGTTGTGGAAAAAAAATGGTGGTCCTGAGAAGGACCGACTTTTGGTAACGCTTCATGGTGATTGACTTTTTATTCTGATGGATGTTTGGTACTTGGCACAACGATTGTCAAAGACGTTAACCGAACCCACGACCGCAACCAACTGATACATAACTGGCCCTTATCGGGTTTTTACACGTTGCTTATCACTATCAGAGTCATTCTGTGCCAATAATAATAATTATGGTAGGTCAAGAAACTTAGCAGTGGCATGTCTAAGATTTTATTTTTAATTTCAAATATTTTTTCCTAGACATTGTTACCATTTAGGGACGTGAAAATTATACGAGTACAGTGCAATAAATCTTATTATTGTGAGTTAGTCCCATTTTTTTATTGCACACATTTCGAAATCACCCTGTATAAACATGAAGATAGAGAGTTCTACAAAATTGTGAAAACGGTGACAATCAGCT